CTGTGCCGCCTCGGGCCAGCCAGGAGAGGCCGGGGTCTCCAGCTCAGCGGCCCCGGCAGAGTCGGGCGGGGGGCACCCTGCGCGGCAGCGACGAGTGGACCCCCAAGTGGCGAGCACCTCCCCTGGCATCAGCCAAGCCCCCGCCCGAATCAGCCTGCCGGGCTGTTCGAATCAGCGGGGCGCCCTGCAGGCGCGGCGGGCCGCGGCCACGTCCGGAGTGAGCCACGTGCCCCACACGGCCACGTCCTGTCACGGCGCCAAGGGGCGACACGCGCCTTCCCGGCCACCCGCGGCGGAGCCCGGACACCGCAGCCCGCGAGAGGCAGGTGAGCACCTGGCAAGCGGGGCTGGGGCGGAAGGGGCCCGCGGCACCGGGGCCCGGGGAGGAGGTGGCCGCACTGCCCCGTGGCCTCTCCCGAGGCAGCCCTGACAGGCCACCTTGGGTGGGACCTCCGCTGGGAGCCCCGGGCTGCACACCTGGCAGCACAGGCAGCTGGGCCGGGGCGGGGACCCGAACAAGGGACTCAAGGTCTCGACCCCATCAGAGGTTCACAAGACCCCCCCCGGGCCGGGGAGGGGGTGGGCCCATCTGCAGGACCCCCCAAGGAGGCATGGAGTCCGGGGAGCCGCCCAGCCTCGGCTCACCGCTCCTCAAACCCCAGCAGCAGGAGGGCTCCCGGACCAGCTGCCCAGGCCTGCCTGGGCACCCTCGCCACAGAGGGGGCTGTGGGCCCGCCAGTCTGGGCGCCATCTGGCCTTCCCAGCCTGCGGCCACCGGACAGGGGCCTCCAGGCCCACCGTGCCCCCACACCCGCAAGGGCCAGGGCAACTCACAGGCCCCGGCCCAGGGCTCCCCGCAAGCCGGGCGAGCTCGGCCCAGCGCACCCTGCAGGGTGCAGGTCCGGCCACCGCCTCCAAGCCCAGCCCCCTGCGCCCCCACCCCTACGGGCCACCCCGCTGGCCAGGTCCCCTGTGCAGGAGCAAGGGGCGTGGAGGCAGCCTGAGGCGACCCCCCGGCGGGCCCCTGCACCGCGCCCAGCGCCTCCCAC